TTTGTTTCATTTTAGTACCCTCATTCAAAATTTAACATTAAGTTTTCAAGAAAAAAAGAATGTTTAGGTACTAAAACGGACTAAAATTGATAATTTAGGTACTAATCGCGTTAAGTTTTTAACGGTGGTACTAAAATGAAATGAAAACTAAACGTTACATTACATATGCTTGTCAAAAAAATTGAAAGCTTATGTACTAAAATGAATTAAAACTGATAGTTTAAATAATAAATACTAGTTTTGTAACCCCCTAGACCCGGCCTATGCGTTTCGACTAAGTCTAGTGGATCACATTATGATTATTAAAGACATTTTTCGAAACTGTTATTCCATCAATATAAAATCACATTATAAATAACTTGAAATTATAAACAAATTATACTATCAAAATCCAACTCGTAAATATAGTACCAATAAATAATAATTTAATTTAAAACTTGTCTTCAAATTCAATATCACAATAAACCGAGCAGTATTAGCAAAAGAGTTATCATTATAAAATCCGATATTTTAAAATAAGGTCCATGTCACCAAAATAAAGTCAACTTGCCAGATAAAAACATTACAATTTGATTTACTTCAAGAGATATGTTGATCCTCCAAGTGCTCGAACCAAGGTATCTAACCAACAGTATCTGAAAGGGGAAAACATTTTCAAAAGGTGAGCTAGGCTCAGTGTGTCCCAACATTTCCATAAAATCACAATAGGTACAAATCATAGTCCAGTAATCTCACAAATTCGTAAAAGAGTTTAACTTTTTGAAAATCATAGTTTAAACCCTTTTTGGTACACCATCAGTAGTTCCCAAAAGTATTTTCCATATAGCTTACTTTATGCACATAGCAAAAAGAAAGCCGACTTAAGGATAGGCTATGAAGCTTGTATCCTTAAGCCCAAGTCAATAAGTCCATATAGCTTACCCTAAGCACACAGCAAAGGAAAGCCGACCTAATGAAACATCTTGGGCCCTCAAGAGTCACATTAGGCCCAGTTAGCTTGATCAGAGCTATTCCATCGTATTTCAATTCCAAAATTCAATTGCACCGTGACATAAATTCCATAAATCCAAAAACATGGTAATCATATACCATTTCAAAACAAAAATTAGATAGCAGCCATATTCCATAAATTGTCACATTAAATTGGTGCATCCATAAAACAATAGCCAATGAATTCGGTGTACCACATATTAAAACCAATAAAACAGTTCAATAATAAGTAGGGAACACACCTCGACAATAGGTTCAAATAGCAAATTTACTGATTGCTGGTTTCACCACGCTCTGCTACAATTTTCGAACGGGTGAATACTGGCACACGTGGTTTAACTGATCTAGAAGAGCTGGGTCGAGCTGTCGAACGATCCGGAGAGTCTCTTGTACCTTCAAACAATAATAATCTATCAGCCCCAAATCCTATTTAATTGTTCAAAGCTAGTCTTCTTAAGTATATAAGCATTTTTCGAGTTTGACTATCAATTTGGGGTATTTTGAGTTTGAATTTGGCCAAACGGATTGCGGAAACGGAATCAGGACGTCGAAAAATATAAAGTATGACTTTTCGGAAATTCAGATTCTTGGTCAAAGTCAAAGTCAACCACTTTGACCGTCGATTTGGAGACCTTCGGGTTTGAATTTAGCGAAAAGGACTGCGGAAATAGATTTGGCACGTCGAAAACTATCAGGATAGGTATACTCGGAAAAGATTTACGGTCGTTTAAGGGTCGGTCAAAGCCATTTTAAGTTTTAGTCAAAGAAAGTCAACGGTCAACGGTCACGGTCAACGGTCACGGTCAATGGTCAACGGTCGGTTTGGGTCAACGGTTGGGTCGGGTCAACAGTCGGGTTGGGTCAAACCGGTTCAGACCGGTCAAACCGGTTCAAAACTGGTCAAACCGGTTTTCCAGCAGCTCACTCTCCCTGCGGCGGCGCGTGCGGCGCGTGAACAGTTCCACGGTGTCGGAAAATTCCCGGAAAAATTTCTAAAAATTATTTTTAGCGATTCCGAGATACTTACAACGATCGGTTCAAATTTTTGAACGGCGGAGAGCTCGTATTTCAACTCGGCCGAATCTTTGACTGCTCCACCTCCTCACGCGCCGCCGTCTACGGCGAACAAGGTTGACACCGGCGGACTCGAAACGACACAAGGAACACGATGATGCAGGAGGTGTCGTAAACGGAACAACGATCGGCGGTGAATTTAAGTTTTTCCTGGCGATAGAGCTAAAAAAAACGACGATGCTTTGACTGAAAATTCCCGACGTTTGGCAGCGTTTCACTTCAATTAATTTGAAGGGTTTGTTCCTCGCTTGATGATGAACACAACGGTGGTTTCAATTTTACGATTGGACGTCGAACGGCGTCGGAATCGGGCTTGGAAGTAAGGGTACGAGAGAAGGAAAATTGAAACCACGCTTAAATTATAAGCCTGCCGACACTCCTTGGAGGAATTCAAGGCTTGGTCCCTGAATTTCCTTCAACTTATAAAATGGCCTATAACTTTTCATAAATTTTAGTTCAGTCATTAAATTTCACAAATTTTCACAATTAACGTCCAATTTCAATTAAATATTTTTTTTGTAAATATTCGGGTTGTTACAAGTTTACCCTAATTTTAATGTTAATGCAGAAGTTGATTAAGTGAATCAATTGACTGTTCACTAAGTCAATGTACCTAAGTTTGGTTTGAGTTAAAAAAAATACTATATATGATATCTATAATATATCATATTACTCAAATAAAACAGTTATAAATTTCATTAATAAGAAAATCAATATTTTAACTGATTTCATCATATGAATTATAAATCAATCTCAAACTATTTACTATGTTGATATTGCTTTTTTTCCGTCCATGGTTGTTTTTGTTTATATCTACCATTTTTCAGTTCTTTAGTGAATTTTCTAAAATATTTTTTATATGGTTATATTTTACTATTTAGTGATTAGTTTGTACAACCTAAAATATATAGGAGAATGCTACATTGATTTGACAAGTATATTTTAGTTTGATAAACTATTTTATAATATCATTATATTTTTTTCTTTACTTAATCAAACTAATAGTTATTTTAGTCAATAAAAAATTATTAGTTGAAAATATATTTACTAATCAATTAATTGTCAATAAATAAGATTAACTGGAATAATAGTCAAATATTATTAATTTAAATTTAAATTAATGTCTAACAATAATATAAATTAAAAAAGTCAAATCGATTGTTGTTGTACAAACTTGAATTATTAAATGAATAAAATCAGAGTACGTAGTTGTTTGGGTGAGTTGGTCCGTGAGTTTATTGAATGCTACAAAATCACAACTTCAACTCAAACTCAATAATTGACCGAATCAAACTCAACTTTTTTTTATCGAGTTCATCTCTTTTACGTCAATATTGTTCCTCAACTTTCTTCTTCTCAAAGTGAGGGTTCTTCGATGTGGAAAATGCAACAAATAACCCCAAAAATCACACCTTTTTTATATAAAAAAGTAATGTTTAATGTATCTCTCTTCCTACGCAGGTCGGCAGGTGTCACGTGCGATCTGAGGTAGTACATCGTGCTGTTCGTTTCTCTGCCTTCTGCTGCAACTCTGCACCCCAACCCACCACATAGATTCACATACCCCAAATTATTCCAAATTTTAACCACCCTAATCACTGTTTCCATGTGTTTAAAACTGTTAAAACAGTAGTTCTTAAGTGTTAAATCGTCATAAAAGATAAGTTTAAGCCTTAATCCACGGGGTACTTGGTATTTGCTTGCCATTAGTGCAAGAAAAACTGGGAAATTTTCACCACCCAAACCCCAACAAGTTTAAAACACACTGGGAAATTTACCTAAAAGACTGAAACGTTAGCTTAAACTTCGTTCGTACAAGAAAGTTGCAGCCTTTTTTTTGACAGCCGTCTTTACGATATTCCTATTCTCGTTATTACCATGCACAAAGGTTATTGTGTTGTCAATCCAGAAAGATCATCAGATCATTGTTCTCTTCTTCTTCCCCTCTCCGCCACTCACTCTATTTGATTTCTTCTATTAATGATGACTCGCTGTTTGCCCTCATTATGCCATTAGTTTCCCCTTTGATTATCTCTTGCTCCTTCAACTTTAAATACAAATTGCACCAATTCGCATTCATTGCTTTGTACCACCCCTGTTTTGCTGTTTTCAGCTTCTGGTTAATCTTTTAAGCTCTGGGTCGTAATTATCCCTGTCAGACACGCTTAACTACTGCCTCTGCCCCTGTCATACACCCCTCTTTCTTTCAGCACCTCCATTTACCTACCGCTTCCTTCTTCTTCCTCCTCTTTTATTTCACTGGTTTAAAAGGGTTCCTTTGTTTACTCACCATTTCTGGGTACTTCGCTGTTTTTTTTTGCTTCGTTTTCTTGGTGGACTTAGATTACGTAAAAAACACTAAAGCCATCGGTTTTTCGTTTTGTTCGGTGGTGACCGGAGATTCAAAGGACAGCAATGGCTGTCAGGTCGGATGGGTCTACTTCGTCTCTCCGGTCTCTGCCTCCACCACGTCCGAAATCGCCACCGGAGTATCCTGATTTGCATGGGAAACGAAAGGAAACGGCTAAGATTCAGATGCTTGAGAGAGAGATTAGTTCCTTGAGGTGTGTTTAAATTGATTTGGTGTTTTTCAGTTTCAATATTATTATCATGCTTTTGCTTAAAATGTTATGTTTTTTGTAAATGGATTAGGATAAAAATATATACTTTATATGTTCCTGTTAGTGCAAATTGAAAGTAAATATTCACAATCCAACTGCATGGAAAATTTTATTATTAATTCATTCGAACCGATTGACACATTCGGATATGGCTAAAAAATTAAATCTTTTATAAAAACCAGAACATAATTCTTGCTCATCTTTGAATTTGTAAATTATGACCTGAATGAAGAACGGACCTTTGTTTTATCAATGGAAAACATCCTTTGTGCCCTGTATTTGCATTGTAAAATGTTGCTGATGATTTCACTCGGAGCAGGAAGAGTTGAAATCCGTCCAAGGTCTCCAACCGGCTTCGAGATACTGCAAAGAGTATGTGAAGTTTTTCAGTTGGCACCTAGTTCATCTGTTAAAGAGTATGTGAATTTCTACAATACTAAAAATTTTCTTCTTCATTTCAGGGTTACAGATTTTGTGATGGCAAAATCTGATCCTCTAACACCTACGTAAGAGTTAAAAATGTTGCTAGTTTTCAACAATTTTCGTGTAATATGTAGAGGATTTAAGCCCTTACGGTTTATATTTATGTTCTTTGAAGCAGAAGCCGGAAGAATCGAAAGTCATGTCGGTTTTGGAAGTGGCTTTGGTATCAATTTCTTGTGCTTCTGGTTTATGTTTATTCTTTAATTAGTTGGTATTTATGTATACACCATGGCTACTGCAAACTTGTGGTTTCTCTACTTATCCCACTTTATGATATTAATTCCGTCTTTTTGCAGCCAAATTCCCTGCTTTAACTTGTCATGGATCTGCTGTTGCTGCTATTCCGGGTGCTCTTCCCATCTGAAGTGTTCGCAATGCTGTGACAGTGATTTATGCAACTGCGGCTCATGCATTTGCAACTTATGTAAATTCAGGCCCTGCAAATGCACCTCATTTGACCCGAGTTCATGCAAGTGCCGCTCATTGGACTGCTGCTCCTGTAAATGTAGCTTGTGCGACTGCAGTTCATGTAAATGCAGCACCTTCTGCAATTGCAGTTCGGGTAAATGCAACTTGTGTGACTGCAGTTCATGTAAGTGCAGCTCATGCGACTGCTGTTCGTGCTCAAGCTGCTGCACAATCCCGAAATCACGATGTACGTGCAGCTCATGCGACTGCTGTTTGTGTTCAAGCTGCTGCACAATCCCAAAATCACGATGTAAGTGCAGCTCATGCGACTTCTGTTCGTGTTCAAGCTGCTGCACAATCCCGAAATGGCAATGTAAGTGCTGCTCATGCAGCTGCTGTTCATGTTCGAGCTGTTGCACGATCCCGAAATGGCAATGCTTCTCGTGTCCTAAATCCAGTTGCTGCAGAAAGGTCTCATGCAGCAGCCAAAACTGCGGCATTTTTTAATTCCCTTCCTGCACAGATTATTTTTGCTGCAGATGCAAATGTTGTCCTAAATGTCCAAAGGTAACCCTTTGCTGCAACTGTACAAAAATCTGCTGTAATCCTTGCTGCCTGTTATTCTAATATATTTCTGCATTTTCGGGTTCATAGTATGGTATGAATTATTGAATCAATCCCAAAATTTGTTGGGACTTCAAAAACCCAGATTTAATCTGGAATTGCAGGAGCAGACCACATTTCTAATCTGTCATTTTAGGATCACTCTGTTGGGTGAGAGTGAGAGAGTACGATGAACCTCTTTTTCAGGTCCCATAAATTCAAACCAGTGGACCTTCAAACTGGCAATTTCATCATGGGTGATGCAAATGAACTGAATTTGTAGATGGTTTCCATGGTTTCCTTTCTGCCTTTCAAAATCTCGACCAAATTATGTGGTTGAAACGTCTTTTCGATCAGTTCTTAAAAGATTTCCGTAACCCAGAATGCAATCCATGTTCATTCATTTCATTTTGTATGACGAAACATCAAAGTTTCAAAGATACCAGGGATTTTGACTGACACATGCTTTAGTGTGGTGTGTGTGTGTGTGTGTTTTTTGGGGGGGGGGGGGGGGGAAGCATAAGATTGAAACAATTTCAGTTGGTGAACAAGAAAAGATCTCTGCTAGGGGTCCTCCATCGTATGTACCCCCTCTTTTCTTTTCCTTGTATTGTGTGCTGCTTTGTCGAAATCCTCAATGAACCTTGAATGTACTTGTCGATGGTGGATGTTCATTTGTAGGGGAAATCTGTTAGGAAAATAAACCGAGTACAAGTAATTTCCCTATAACCAGATTAGTGAGAATGCGAAATAAAAGCGGAAAAATAATACCCGAAAATTGATAACGGAGTTCAGCCAATTGTGCTTACGTCTCCGGGCTGCTGCAGATCTTTTACTAAGAGAGAAAATTTACAGGTGTTTACAAAACACTCACTACTCACAAGAAAGCTCTCTAGTATAGGAAGAAAGAAATGTTTTGGGATGATTTTGAAGCTAAATGGGTAAGGGTATTTATAGTAGAAACTTAGGGACTAATCTTTGAAAATACCCTAAAGTGCAATGACTAAAGTGAATTTACCCATTCCTATTTTCAACAAACATCTACCAAAATTTTACCAAACTTTGAAAAACATTTTTCAAAGAAACATTTACCAAACTTTGAAAAAACATTTTCCAAAGTTGGTTGCCAAACTTTGAAACTTTTAACAATCTCCCACTTGAAGACTGATTTTAATATGTCTTCACACCTCGATCAATGCAGCAGCATGTCTGGTCTTGTTATTCTAGCATGCCAACTGAAGCTGAACACAACTTCAGTTTGTCCGTAGTCACCGTCTTTGTCAACATGTCTGCCGGATTTTGAGCTCCACTAATCTTTTCAAGTTTCAAAATCCCATCTTCCAGAAGAGACCGGATAAAATGATATCTCAATTGTATGTGCTTTGTCCTGGAATGAAAAGACAGATTCTTTGCTAGATGGATAGCACTTTGACTGTCGCAATACAAGATATTGTTTTCTTGTTTCTTGCCTAACTCTTCCAAGAAACTTTGGAGCCAAACCATCTCCTTGCTGGCTTCCGTAACAGCGACATATTCTGCTTCAGTTGTGGAGAGAGCAACTATCTTCTGTAGTTGAGAAACCCAACTCACTGCAGTTCCTCCTAGAGTATAGACATACCCTGTAGTGCTCCTTCTGATGTCGACATTTCCGGCTAAGTCAGTATCTACATAGCCTGTCAGTATCATATCTCCACCTTTGAAACAAAGTGATTTGTTTGTGGTACCCCGAAGATATCTGAGGATCCATTTGACTGCTTCCCAGTGTACCTTGCCCGGATTATTCATGTACCTGCTAACAGCTCCCACTGCATGAGCAATATCTGGTCTGGTACAAACCATGGCATACATCAGACTTCCAATTGCTGAGGCATACGACACCTTCACCATGTGTGCACGTTCTTCCTCCGTCTTTGGTGATTGGTCTTTGGAGAGTCTGAAATGAACACCTAAAGGTGTACTTACTGGTTTAGCATCTTGCATGTTGAACCTGGAGAGTACTTTGTTGATGTACTCAGCCTGCGATAACATCAAAGTCCCCGACTTTGTGTCTCTCTTGATCCTCATCCCAAGAATCTGCTTTGCAGCGCCCAGATCCTTCATAGCAAACTGCTTCGACAATTTTTGCTTCAAGTTTATGATCTCTTGCATGTTTGAGCCTGCAACGAGCATGTCATCAACGTACAACAATAAAATAATGAAACTATTGTCGAACCTCTTGATGTAGCAACAATGATCTGCTTGGCATCTGGTAAAACCACTGCTACTCATGAAACTATCGAACTTCTTGTACCACTGTCTAGGAGCTTGTTTTAAACCATACAAGCTCTTCTTCAACCTGCATACCAGGTTTTTCTTGCCTGCCTCTATGAAGCCTTCTGGCTGCCTCATATAGATCTCTTCCTCCAAATCACCATGAAGGAAAGTTGTCTTTACATCTAACTGCTCGAGATGTAAATTCTCCGCAGCTACAATTTTCAACACCAGTCTGATTGTAGACAGTTTTACGACTGGAGAGAAAATTTCATTGTAGTCAATACCTTCTTTTTGCTGAAAACCTTTGACAACCAATCTTGCTTTGTAGCGTTTTCCCATCATGTTCTTCTTTGATCCTGTAAATCCACTTGTTATGGAGCGCTTTCTTGCCTGGTGGTAATTCAGCTAATTCCCACGTCTGATTTGACATAAGCGAGTCCATCTCATCTTTCATGGAAGACTCCCACTTGACTGAATCCTCCACCTGCATTGCTTCATCATAACACTCTGGTTCACCATTGTCAGTCAGCAACAAATAGTGCAAAGAAGGCGAATACCGTTGGGTTGGTTTAGGAATTCTGGAGGAGCGTCTCAGTTCTGGTGTGTGTGGTTCTTCTTGAACTGCTTCAGGATTGATCTGAACATCATTTCCAGAAATATCCTCGAACTCAGCAAATTCCTTTGTTTCAGCTTCGGTATTACTTGATTCTGCGGTTGACCTATCTTTGTACATCACATTTTCATTGAAAATGACGTCTCTGCTTCTGACGATCTTTCGATTTTCGTAGTCCCAAAACCGGTAACCGAACTCATCACCACCGTAACCAACAAAGACGCATTTGTTGGACTTGGCATCAAGTTTACTTCTTTCAGCAGAGTTTATGTGTACATAAGAAATACAACCAAACACTCTTAAGTGTGAAAGGTTTATTTCTTTCTTGCTCCAAGCTTCCTCTGGTATTCCGCCATCCAAAGAAACTGAGGGCCCACGGTTGATCAGGTAAGCTGCAGTGTTGATATCTTCAGCCCATAGAAATTTGGGCAATCCGGCATGTATCCTCATGCTTCTGGCACGTTCATTCAGAGTTCTGTTCATGCGCTCTGCTACGCCATTCTGCTGCGGTGTTATGGGAACTGTTGTCTCCATCTTGATCCCATTGTTTGCGCAGAAATCTCTGAAACTACTGTCTCTGTACTCTCCTCCATTGTCAGACCTCAACCGCTTGACTTTCAAACCAGTCTCATTTTACACCATGGCCTTCCATTTTCTGAAGGTATCAAAGACTTCTGATTTCTTCTTCAGAAAATAAACCCACACCTTCCTTGTTGAATCATCGATGAAGGTGACATAATATAGTGAGCCTGCAAGAGATGGAACAGGGGATGGTCCCCATACATCAGTATGAACCAATTCTAACCTTTCTGCCTTGGGAGTCTTGCCAATCTTTGTAAAACTGACTTTCTTTTGTTTTCCAAAGATGCAATCCTCGTATAGTCCGACATCTACATTCTTTAGATCCGGCAGCTTCCCTTTTGACAAAAGTATCTTCATTCCTTTCTCGCTCATATGGCCGAGCCTTTGGTGCCATAGGTTTGATTTTCCATCAGCATCTGCTACTGGAATGATATTCTCTAAATTTGAGGTTACATAGAGAGTACCGGTCTTCTTACCACGAGCAATGACGAGTGCTCCTTTGGTAATCTTCCATTCACAGCCTGAAAAAGTTGTACTATATCCTTCTCCATCAAGCTGCCCAACAGAAATCAGATTTCTTTTGAGGCCAGGAATATGTCTCACTCCTGTCAGCTTCCAGGTGGTCTGGTTTGGCAGCTTTAGTCGGATGTCTCCTTTTCCGACGATCTTCAAGGTTTCATCATCAACTAGATGAACCTTCCCAAAATCACCACTGACATAGTTCTCCATGATTTCTCGGCATGGGGTGGAGTGGAAAGATGCCCCTGAATCCAAGATCCATGATTCAATCGGACTGTTGACGCTTAAAATCATGGCATCACCTGTCTCCTCCGTCATGTTGGCAGATTCCTGTGCGCCGGTATTTTTCTTCGGTGCTCGGCAATCTCTTTTGAAGTGACCTTTTTTGCAGCAATTATAACAGGTAAAATCTTTATTTCCTGTTCTTGATTTGCCCCTTCTAGATTTTGATCTGCCACGATTTGAATTTCTTTCTGAAGTTCTCCCTCTAGATTCCGTGTGTAAGGCTGAGGAGGTTGATGCTTCACCCGATTCTCTTCGTCGAATTTCTTCACTCAATACCAGATCCCGAACATCGTCGAATTTTAATTTGCTGTTTCCCGACGAACTGCTGACTGCTGTAACAGTAGCATTCCAACTGTCTGGTAGAGATGATAAGAGAATTAAAGCTCGAACTTCATCATCGAACTCAATTTCCACTGAACTCAACTTGGTTGTGATTGTGTTGAGTTCATTTAGGTGTTGTGCCACCGATGCCCCTTCCGCCATCCGCAAATTGAATAATCGCCTCATCAAATGAACTTTGTTTGAGGCCGATGGCTTCTCGTACATACTGGAGAGAGCCGCCATAAGACCCGCCGTGGTCTTTTCCTTTGCTATGTTAAAAGCAACATTGCAGGATAACGTCAGTCGGATAACTCCGAGGGCTTGTCTGTCGAGAATAGCCCAATCTTCATCCTTCATGCCCTCTGGTTGCTTTCCTGAGAGAGGTTAATATAGATTTTTCTGGTACAAAAAATCTTCAATCTGCATCTTCCAAAAGCCAAAGTCCGCACCATCGAACTTTTCAATT